TTGTAATCCTCCTGCCTCAGAGTGAATAAATAATGTCTGGACTATTGGCACCACAGCATGGGGCCCTCAGATATTTACAGAATTATCATATTTACCTTTTGGTTGATTTTCCTGCTCATGTAAAACATTTTTTATACAAGTACAGAAATCCACATAAAATAAATATACTTTGCAGCATCTCATTCTTTGAGCTCGTTCTTATTTTCTCAACACTATTTTCCAAATTTTTATCCTTTTCCTGTCCCAGCTCTGGAATGAGCCATTTCTCCATTGACACCATTGGGTAGAAAATCATATTTGGCAGTGTTGGGGCCAGTCTGATCCTCTTCCCCAGAGTGTCCCCCTGTAGCAGCTAGCAGGAACTCTTTCCTATTTTCCTTACTCTTCTTTATTAAGGACCCACCTGATCTTTGTCAGCCTCTCAATCTGAAGTCTTGTACCATTTTCTCTTACTTTCTAATTGAAGCCTTTTCCTGAAAAAAAAAAGAAGAAAAAGAAGTAGCATCCAAGATCTGGGTTCTAGGTATGCATATTGTTCCTATAATGTTCTTGCTTCCAGTCCCTTTGGTGGATTGCGTGTATGTATGATGCACATACAGTGTATGTATGATGCATGCATGTGTACAGACATACCCACATGTACATCAACATTTACTGGTATGTGTGTGTGTCTTGGTAACCAATGCCTCTATTCCCAATCCAACATGATGGGGTCAGTGCTAGTCTTTTCCCACCTCACGTTTGTATTGCTTTCCCCAGGGAGTGATAAAAATAATTCTCAGTTTATTTCTTTCTTTGGTCAACCTATGGTGCTTTGCTAATTTCCCATCTCCATAGTGCTCCTGCCAGCTTGGACACTCTCTTCTTGGTTCCTGAACCTGGCAGGGCTGCCTTCCCCTCCCGGCTCTACTGCCTGCCTTGCGTAGACTCCACTTAGGGATGGTTTATAGAGTTTGTTCTACCTTTTCACCGATTTTTCTTTTTTTCATTTTTCTATTTTAAAGAGAATAGTAAAAAAAAAATAACAAAATACAAACAAAACAAAGCAAGAACATTAAAAATGATAAAGGCTTTCAAACCAAATGATAGGGATTAACAGTGGTTGTTATATTACATATTGTTATCTTCAGCGAAGTTGCTCAGATTACTAGACATAAGAATGGAAGATTGATCAAACCATTTAAAAGAATAAGAAAATTATAATTTAAAAAAAGATTAGAGACCATACCGAGTTTCACTAGACAAGGTGGTAGGAATTCACCAATGGTTGTTACATTGCATATTGTTGTCTTCATATCAGTTGCTCAGATTACCAGATATAAGCATGCAAAATTGGTCAAGATATAAAAAAGGTTTAAGCATTAACTGTTTACATATTTATCTTAAATGAATAAAATATCCATTTTATTTCTAATCCTTTTCGTAGTTCTGATACTTCATTTCTGAGATTTTCTAGCTCTGATTTAAGTTGGGTTTTCTTTTTTCAGATCTTGTACCATTTTCTTACTGTCTCTCCAAGAGCTTTGAAATAGTAGGTTACAGTTTTGTTCTGCTTTGTGAGTGCATTTTTTCTGATGTGCTTGCATTGTCTATGGGAATATTTTGCCAGTTTCTTTTCATTATAACATTGAATGAGATTCTACCCTGCATATTTATCTATTGCTCTTTTAGCAAGTTATCCTAAAATGTAGCAGCTTAGCACAAAATCATTGATTATTTCACATTTCATGCGGGTCAGGATTTTAGAAACAGATTATCTGGATGGTCCTGACTCTGGGGTTTATCACATGTTGCTGTGAAGATGTCAGTGAGGGCTGCTGTCAGCTGAAGGCTCGACTGGGGTTGGAGAATCTACTGTGAGAATGGTTCCCTCCCTCGGCTGTTGATTGGAAGCCTTGGTTCCTCACTGTGGGAATCTCTGTATAGCTGATTGAGCATCCTCGTAACATGGCAGTCGGCTTCCTCCAGAGAATGAACGAAGAGGAAGCTGCAGGACCTCTTATGTCCTCATCTCCAGAGTTGCACATTGTCACTTCTGCCGTGTTTTATTCATCACTAAGCCTAGCCCACGCTTGAGGAGAAAGCAATTAGGAGCCACTCTTTTTTTTATTATTATAATTATTAACACACAGTAAGTATACAAATTGAGGCGTTTCACTATGGTATTTTCCTAAATGCATATTATACTCCACCTCTTGAAGGGAGGAGTCCGACAGCATGGTGTTTGCTTTATGAGATTTTTCACCTTTTCCCCTTTCTTCCAACCCCCTTAATCTAGACCATCTGTTCTTTTGTCCTGTTTCTCTTGGATTTCACTATGGCACTGGGTGAACGCCTTCTGGTTTAGCACCTGTCCTCTCATTGGCTCCTCATGTCTTCTAGTGAATACCTGGGGGCTCTTTTCGGGTTCTCCTCTTCATTCCATAAGATGTCTTGTTTCTCTTCTACACCCTCCCAGGCAGGAGCAGGTACCATACAGGTTCTGTAGCTGTCAGTGGGTGGCCCATACCTTCTTGTGTCTTGGGGTTCCTGGAGATAATTCATCATCTGTTTTTATTGAAAATGTAGTCTGTGCACTTCTGGTTTTGCTATCCTCTTGTTTTGTCCATTTTTAAGGGTCCTGATGCAGGGAGGCAGGAGGTCAGAGTCAGTGCTAACAGCCACGATGGAGTGATGTGAGGAAGGGGCCAGGAGCCAAGGAATGCAGTCATCTCCGGAAGCTGAGAGCAAAGAAACAGATCTTGTCCCAGACCTGCAGTGGGAGCACAGCTATGTTGACACCTCAGTTTTAGCCCAGTGAGGTTGACTTTGGACTTTTGAACCCTGGAACTGTTGGCTAAGAAATTTGTGTTGCTTAAAGCTGCTAAGTTTGTGGACATTTACTATAACAATCAGAGGAGAGTAACAACCCGGGGGTCAAGATTCCCTCAAGAAAGGGGGCCCAGATGTCTTTTAACCTCCCCCAAGGGAGGCTGTAGTGACAGAAATCCAACTCCAGTTTAAGAAAAAAAAAAGAAAGAAAGAAAGAAAAAGAAAAAAGGAAAACAAAAAAGTGAGTACATTTGTCGTTTCACAGTCCAGGGCTGTCTGGTTTCTACGCTCACTCCATGGTCTCTGCTGATGGTCAGAAATCTGTAGTCATAGGGAGAGGGTGACTCCCTCTCTCCATGTTGACTTCCTCTTGTCTGTGGCCCTAGGGATGGCCCCAGCAGCCCTGGGCTTCCGTGACACCTAGCTGGCTGCTCCAGTGCCAAATGAAGGTGGGGCCCTGGTGCTTAGAAGAGGCCCCGAGATGCTTCTCAATGGCTCTGCTGGGTCCCTTGTTATCCTTGACCCCTACATGGCTGTGTGGCCAGGGCTGGGCCCTGGGTCCCTGTCCAGGCAAGTAGGGCGGGTGGGATGGCTTCACCTGAGCTGCATGGCCTCGGAGGCCAGGAAGAATGTTACCCACAGGAAAGCTGAAGTGTTCTTTTTGAGAAGGGGGAAAACTGAGACTGGCTGGGGTGAAATAATGCCCACCACTGCCATCCCCTGCTCCAAATCCTGGGATCCGGACTGCAGAACTATCTTGCTGATGACTGTTGATTCACAGTGCTTTGAAATGCCACAAGCATCTGTATATCCCTAAGGATTTAAAATTGTGCTTCATTTAATTACCTTTATTAAATATAGTTTAGATTACATAGATAGTGTAGTCTGGGTAACTACTGAAACAATGCCAAAAGCTATAAAGAGACACATAAACATTTTTGCTGTCCCCCCTTTATAGGGTCTCCCTCTCCCAAACTGGAAGCCTGGAATTTATTCTTCTTCATCTCTTCCTCTGCCTAGGCATGCAGATCCTGTTTTTCTTCTTCTAGTGTTGCTAGCTTTTACGAACTAGTCGTAAAGTCTTCTGTTTCACACATCTTGACATCTCTCCCAAAACATGAGTTCAGGTCTATTTCATTTTAAAAGAATTTGTTAATTTGTGAATACTTGTATGTGACTTAGGGAGTCGAGTGACACCTGTATTTTTAAATAAAATATTCCTTCCACCCCTGTTCCTCATCCTCCCTTTCTTTTTCCCCAAAGGATCAGGAATCCTTTGAGAGAGACTCTGCTTTTGCAAAGATTTGTAGAGGGAAACATTTTTTCCATGGGAATAGGGCATTGTTTATTTTTATTTATCAGTGTGTCTTGGGAACTGCACTGGATTAGTACTTAGCATGCTTTGTAGCTGTATTTTATAGCTGCCTTTGGCTGTAGCATCATTTATTTGGACCTCAGGGTGTTTGCAATGTTTTGTCATCACAAACAGAACTGTAAGAAAATGTACCTTGGACACAGCTGTTTTGCCTAAGATTAGCACTTGTAGAATGAGTTTCCAGAGGCGGATTTGTTGGGTCTGGGATATATGGAAGGAAAATGTAAGTGCATACAGCTAAAAAGCCCTTTGCCAAGATGCATTCCAGGCCCATCCCCAGCCCACAAAACGTCAGAGCCCGTTTGCCCATTTCCACCAGCCTGGTGTGTTTGGGGGGTTCTGTTGCTATAACAAAGTACCAGAGGCTGGATATGTTTTAAAGAAAAGTTTATTTGGCTCATGACTCTGGTGGCTGGAAAGTTCAGTTAGCGTGGTGCTGGCTGTGTCACACTACAGTGGAGAAGTACAAAGGCAGCCAGCTGCTGGCAGAAAGGACCAAGCCTGTGGGGTTGGTCTGGAGGGTGGTACCCCAGGACCTAATCACCTCCACCAGGGCCATCTCTTAAAGATCCAGTACCTCTTGGGAGCATTACACTGGAGACCAAGTATCCAGCACTTGACCATTTAGGGGGTCACACTTAGACCCTATTCAACCCATAGCAGGTGGAAACTGGATCTCACTGTAGTTAAACCAAAATCTTCAAAATACAGAGCAGGCTGGGGTTTGGGTGGAAGGTCGTGCGTGTGGGGGCTCCTGCCTCTGCTCCTCGAAGTAGCGCTCTGAGCCTGTCCCTGTCCTCCTTTGTCTCTGCAGAGCAAGCTGGTGAAGTACTTCAGCCGGCAGCTGTCCTGCAAAAAGAAGGTGGCCCTGCAGGAGCGCAACGCCGAGCTGGATGGCTTCCCCCAGCTCCGGCACTGGTTCCGGATCGTCGACGTGCGCAAGGAAGTCCTGGAGGTGACCAGAGGCGGCCCTGTGCCCTTTGACTTTCACCCTGACCCTGACCCTGACCCTGACCCAGCAGCTACCCCTCCTCCGCTCCTCGGATGGCAGACCTGTAGCTGTGCACAGCACAGTCCGCGGCACACAGTGGGCCCTCGTACGCACACACTGGACAAGGGCAGGCAGGCTCTCCAGTGTGGCTAAGGCCGTGGTTCTGGAGTCAGTCAGACTTCCTCCAGCTGGGCCACTTCTTAACCAAGTCAGATTAGCCAAAGCGGTTCACCTCCTAGGTCAGCACTGTCCAGTGGATCTTTCTGCTGTGGCAGGAATATTTCATATCTGTGCAGTGTGATATGGTAGCCACTAGCCATGGGTGGCTCCTAAGCATTGAACTGTGGTTAGTGCAGGTGGCTGAGGACCTGGAGTTTTAATGGATTTAATGTTAATTGATGTGGCCCCTGGCTGCCATGTTGGATTGCAGTCTTAGAGCGTTGGTCTCCCCATCTTTTAAACACAGGTAATGATTATCCCCTCTTCTTAAGTAGCTGGCATAATAAAATGAGGCGACCGCTATAAAAATGTTCAGCTCATCGCCTGGCACTTAACAGCACTCAGTGAATATCATCTTTTTGTTAAAGTTTTGAAGTACAGTAACAGTCACAGCAAGCAGTTTGGCAGTGGTAAAGCGTGGCTGGAACACCTGATTCTTAGTGTCCACCATCAAGTTGGACCATATCCTTAAGGTCTCAAGAACTGTGAGGTTTCCTTGTCCTCCTGGATCCCAGGAGCTGGGCCCAAACCACTGCTCCTGATGCCAGTTCAGCTCATATCATCCAGTCTTTCGTGCCACTCATCAGTTTATCCACATGAAGGATCTCAGCTGTTGAGATGATTCATATCGTCTCAGTGACCTTCTGAGTGGGCGGGGCTATTATCCCCATTCTGCAGAGTGATAATCGAGGCTTAGAGATGAAGTGACCTGCCCAGCTGTTGAGTGGGCAGGAGAATCCAGCTTGGATGGATGCCAGAGCCTCAGGCTTTTGGCTCATTTCCTGCAGCTGGGAGCTCCCTGAAAAGGGCAGAAGAGGAGGTTCCCCTGTGACTGTGAGGCCAAGAGCCGTGTTTCCAGGGCTGCTTGATTCCTGCTGGAAGAGGCCTTTTGTCTGCTTTAGATCTTGTCTTCAAGGGCAGAAGTTATGCCTGACCCTGCCTTCTCTCGAATCCTGAGCAACACACAGCACCCTGCCTTGCTCACCCACCATGCCGCGCTGGCAGTACACAATTCTGTCTTCCCTTTGTGCACCCCAGGATGGCCAGAGTGGATACCCTTGGAAGAAAGGGCTCCGTACAAGTACAAACGTTACATTTTAATTACCTAGCCCGGACCCCTTTCCAGAAGCTTTGAGGAGCCTTTATCAAGGGCCAGTTATGGAGGAAATAAGGCACAAGCACCTCTTCTGGAGGAAAAGCTGAAAACTGGTGGCTCTCAAGCTGCATGTGGTCGACAGATATTTCTCCTTGACTGATAACAATTCTCAAAAATTTATTTTAAACTAATATTTTAAAAACTGGACAAGTTTACCTAACAAGCCCGAATCTCTGACTGGGAGTGTAGCTCAGTGGTAGAACATGTGCTTAGCATGTGTGAAGCCCTGAGTTCCCTTGCCAGCAATGCAGAGACAAAACACAACACAACACAACACAACGCAACACAACGCAACACAACGCAACACAGTTCAGATCTCTGGCTTCAAAGTCAGAATTGCTAATCGTGCTGAGCCCTTGTCTAGCGGATAAGCTGATGACCTCGATCTCCTGCCCCTTTGGGTCCCCGAGGCTTCCTCCAGCCCATCGATTTGCTCATTTGCATTTTCCTGGAGTTCTGGAACCTGAGCTTGTGCTTTTGGTCTTTGACCTCTGAGTCCAAGTCTCCCCGCTTAGGAAGCGGAGCTGCAGTTTAGCTCTCTGCCTGCAGTTCATAAGTATGTCCACCAGAGGTCCTCCTTCAAGGAACCGGCAGTGTAGAGACAGCTTCGAAGAGAACAGGCTGGTTTCAAACTGCAGCCTTGTGCAAGCAAGGGGGACCTCGCTCAGTTTTAGTATCCTGGTCTTTAAATGGGGTAAAAGTATCATCGCTATGTAATTTTTGTAGCATATAAAGAAAATCTATGGAAAGCACTTAGAACAATGCTTCCTTCACCCACCTCAGCTGATACTGTATCACACATACAAGCTGTCTGCTCTCTTGCCCAGGTTTGTAAAGGCTTTCTCCACGTTTACGGCCATAAAAATGACTTCTACATTTTATGTGATCCTAAATTTCAGCGTAAATAGTTTTAAATAGAAGAATTAAAACGCATGAGTCCTACAGCAAAGAGGAGAAAATCCTTTCATGCTGTGCACGCTCTCCTCTTAACTGATGCATCCTGTACGTTTAGACCCGGGGTTATCACCTTTGTTACCCTAGCCTAACCTGCAGTGTGTCCCAGTGTGACAAAGCCCCAAGAGACTCAGTTACTGTTCTCTTTATGCCCCTGGCCGAGGGCACTGATCGGGCTTTGCCTGTTGCCCTTAGCTCGTTTATTTATTTATACATTTTGGGTTAGAATTTATGTATTGAGATTTTCCTATTTCTGATTGAGTTTAATGGTGGGGAGCTGAACTTTGTTGTAATACTCAGATGTGACCACCAGAGGGCAGAAAGCGCCCACCCTATTGCCCTAGACAGCACCGTCCAAACATGTGAAATCTTTATTTAAATATTTGTGTAAAAACGTTGGCTACCATTAGATGCTATAAATGAAGGCGAACCATATACATGTACTATGTATATATGTACGTATATTTATAGATGGGTGAGTACAGGAGTTCAACAGGTTTTGAGGCGTACGCTTATTCTAGGCAGATGCATTAAGCTGTGCGAGTCCAGCTTACCGCTGTTCCCCGGCCCCTGCCTTGCCGGAGGATGGCCTTAGGCTGCAAAGCCGAGCCCCGCACACACAAACCCGGTCCTATTCCTGGCACTGAGTTGCCCGTGGGCTTTCGGCGTTTCCCCCCTTATAACCCTGAAGGTGCACTCGAACCCTCCACCCTGTGTCTGGGACGGAGTGACCCGAGAGCGGAGGGCAGCCAATGGGGGACTCGAGCTGTCCGGCCGGCTTGGGTGTATTCGCGCCAGGACTTTGCTTGGGTCTCTACAGTCCAAGCCGAACAGGGGCCACGGGAGCCATCGCGGAGGCTCAGCATAGGGCCCCGCTTCCTAAGGTCCTCAGAACCTAGGTGTGGACGCAGACAGATCCAGGTGATTAAGTGCTGTACGTGTGGGGTACTGAAGATGCCCTAAGTGTCTGTGCGACATGACCGAGTCCGCATATTTAGCATCCTCCTCTTGTCGGTAAGAAAAGGGAGGCCCAGAGAGGTTAGGCGACTTGTCCGAGGTCGTGAATGAATGAATGGCAACCCTGAGACTCAAACCCAAGCCTATCTGACCCCAGGTCTCAGACCCAGCCCTAACCCTTTTCGTAAGAGGCATTTGCACAGCGGCGTGTTCTCCTCTGGGCGCCGCTAGGGGGCAGTGTGGAGACGCTCGCAGCCAGGTTGATGGTTTTCTGTCGCCTCCCCTAGGAAATCTCTCCCGGCCAACTGAGCCTGGAGGACCTCCTGGAGATGACGGACGAGCAGGTGTGTGAGACGGTGGAGAAGTACGGAGCCAACCAGGAGGAGTGCGCCCGCCTCAATGCCTCCCTGTCCTGCCTCAGGAATGTGCACATGTCAGGTGAGCGGTCCTGGGAGCGTGGACACCTGTCCTCAACACATCTGCCACCGCCTGCCACCACGTCCGGTTCTTTAGTTCCTGGGAGTCAGTTCTGCAAATCCCAGCCTCGAGAAAAGTGTCCTGTCGGTTCCCACCGCGAGGTGGCCCTGTTGAGCCCAGACCCTGTTGAGCGTGGACACCTGTCCCCAGCACATCGGCCACCGCTCTGCCACAGCTGAGCAAAGATGGGTGGGCCTGGGGTTTGGAGGCTGGAAGACCCCTTGGGTTTGCACTTAGCCCTGGGACAACCTGCTGAGCTCCATGGCGCCGGGGTCTGGATAATTATGGTCCAGATCCCGAAATTGTGTGTTTGTTTGTGTGTGTGTGTGTGTGTGTGTGTGTGTGTGTGTGTGTGTGTGTAAGACCAGGGCCTTTTACCTTAGACATTCTGAAGTGCCGTTGCACTGCAGCTCACCGGCTAGCTTCTTATTTTCTTACATGAATACAAGGTGTGCTCGAGAACTATGGCAAAAGTTTAAGTAAAAAATTTATTACAGTAAAACACATGTTGCTGTTAAACCCTTCTCAGCATTCACGCCCTTGCTTCAAACACATGTATCCCCTACTTAAAAAAAAAACAACAAAACACTAGAGTTGGGTGTAGCTGTACATGTTATTTGGAAACTTTTTTTTTGGTACCAAGAATCGAACTCAGGACCTTGCACTTGCCAAGCAGGCGCCTGTGCCGCTGAGCTGTATCCCTGACACACTTTTTTTTAACATAACAAGATAACCTCTGGACTTGTTTTATCAATTTAGGTCCAAATATATTGTTACCTCTCCCTGATCTTTCCAGTGAATTGTTGAAACACCTATTTGTCTTCATTAGCATAATATCAAATGTCACCATCTTGAGGCTTCCTACATCCGCATAGTCTCATGATTTTTTTCCGCGAAAGGGGGGCTTTTTTAGCTCCTGGGAATCAGCTCTGCAAATCCCAGCCTCGAGAAAAATGTCCTGTCGGCTCCCACCGCGAGGTGGCGCTGTTGAGCCCAGGCCAGCAGAGCCTGGCGGATGCTGATTCACAGGCGGCCCTGGTGGATTCCACACGGGGGACCCTTACGGAACCGTGGGGCGGATTAGCCAGCGGTGAGCCAAGCAGAGCCTGTGTGTGAAACCGGTCCTTGGCCCGGATCCCCCACACATGACCTTTGTCATTTCTCTTGAAGGCAGATCTGGATCCGGGCTTCAGGCAACATCCACAGGGCCTCTGCTCAGGGCTGCCCTGGGCGTCCCCAGCCTCTCCTCATAGAAATCAGTGCCATCTCCTACTTCCAGCTGTGACAAACACCAGTGTCCCTGAGTATTTCCAGATGTTCCCTGGGAGGCAGAGTCACTCCGTCCTCCGGTCACAAAGGTCCTCACCCACCCTCTCGCAGCCTGGACAGAGCCAGCGCCCCTGCCCTCTGCACCTGCAGGGAGAAGTGGCCGGCGGTTTTCCCTCCTTTGAAACATGGCGCTGAGCCACAGTGCGCGTCCCCGACCTCCTCCTTTGCCAGCAGATACATTTCTTTCTCATGTTTGATGCTCAAATGCTGGATCCTGTGTTCAGCTGTCTCCTAGTTTGGGACATTGAGGTGGTTCCCATGCTTTTCCTGTCCCGAGCTGGGCTGTCCGTGGGTGTAACCACGGCTGCCCTACTGCAGTGAGTCAGCAGCTGTGGGCTCCTGCAGTGGGAGAAGAGCGAACACTGCCGCCTTGCTTTCTAGGAAGTCCATGCTGCCGTTTCACGACCCCTGCGCCTGCCCTAGAATTGCATGGGCTCCACTGCTCCCTGTGACAGGTGTTTTTGTGGCATCCTGGACCGGATGAGACCTTGCAAGTCCCTCTTAACAACTGTTCCCCACACTGTTTTGATCAAGTTGCATATTAGAAGTGTGATTTATGGTACAACCCATGCACACGCGTAGATACACGTATCTAATACAGCTGCAGTGCTTCATGACGCAGTATGCACTTTATCATCCACATGAGAGGAGCAGATATTTCAAATTCTTCACTGTTTTATTCTATGTCTGTTACCAAATTCTGGCCGTGGCCTTGCACTTTCACATCACACGTCATTTATAGGTTGTGTCCCGTGTGACACCCCTATACCCCCCGCCCCTGCAGGGGCGCAGTGTGGCTGGATGCCAGCCGCAGGCCTGGGGCTCTGGTCCTTGAAAGCGATGCCCCAGTGCCCCTGCTTTGCTTTAGCTCTGCTCAGACTTCTTGGGAAAAGATTGTTAACCCGGTTTTGAGTTTCCTCGCCACCCTACATCAGCTTTGCCAACGTGTAGATAGCTGTGCCCCTTACTACTTTTATTTTTTACCTTTTTGGGGGGGTGTGCTGCCGTCGGCAATGGAAGCATTTCTCTCACATTAGACTGAAAGCCGCAAGAGGTTGGGATTGTACCCATTTCTGCTCGTTGTTTTATCCCCTGGGAAGTCAATATCTGACACCCAGAATTTGATAATTAAAAAGATCTTATCAGGAGACAGGGTCTCACTAAGTTGCCCAGGCTGGCCTTGAACTTGTGATCCTCCTGCTTCAGCCTCCTGAGTAACTGTGATGGTAGGGGTGCATCGCCACACCCAGTTTAATAAATACTTTTAAATACATAGCTCTGCCTCCTCCCTTGGCTCATGGAGCCTCCCAGCAGCTTTAAGTGCACAACCTTTGGCAAGGATTGCAAAGCCCCTCAGGCTTGGGCTCCTGCTTGGAGCCGCACTATGTATTTTTCCCTCAAGGCCTGAAGATGCGCTAAGTGCACTGGCCGCTTAGTTTCCTGGCCAAGGCGTGGATTTCACAACTCTTTCCCAACTTTCCCTCTGCCTGGAATTCTCTTCCCTCTTGTCCTTCGGGTCCTTGTCTTCGTTTGTCACCTGCTCAGCCTCAGGCCCCCCGAAGCCTGGTTCTCCACAAGGCCCTTGCCTGCTGGAGCTTGCAAATCCAGTCTGTCTCTTGCCCCAGGCCCCCAGTGTGCCACATACTGTCCTGTGACGTGCAAGGTCTGTGCCACCAAGCCACCTCTGTGTCACCTCCCACCTCACGTGCTCACTTCGCCCCTGCACAATTTGGTTCAACTGCCCTGGTTTCCTCAGTGTCTGCTCAGCA